ATACCTCTCATTCAGAGGATGGCCTTAACCTGATCAGAGAGAGATGCGAGAGTGCCCTCAACAATGAACGTAAACGTTTCTCATTAAATTCATAACTTTTATATGGTTTCACAGAGATAACATTCCAAGTAGTTTTGCGTCCCAATAAATGACGCTGTCGTTCAAACATTCTTGTAGCATCAGGCGTTGGCAGCTAACAAGTTCCGCTGCAAATAAGTTTATTACTTCTGCATTGGAGCGTGATGGATGTAATGTTAATTTCTTCTCCATAGTTTTTTTAAAGCACTTGGCGTCATGTTCAACAAAGCGATATGGCGTCTATTCGTTTGACGTGTCTGATAATCAGATGTCGTTGAGGAAGTACTAATATGTGATCCTGCATATTTATTCCTTATTACCTCATTATTTTTATTATTTAATGGATCATCCGTTGTATGTTCCTTTTCTGCAGTAATACGTCGCAGATGTGAGATGTTTCCTTCTCAGTCGTGGTTCTCTTTTATAGAGAGATGTAGCAATGATCGAACATTGCATTCGTAGTCTATTCGACTTGTATATCCTCCGCGTGGAGGGGCCCAATATTATCTACCGCCCGCGCCTCGTTGCACCAATATCATCACGATGAATAGGGCTGCGTGTGGGCACTCTTCCGCGAGTACCCTGTGTGCATTCTGCGCCTCTTCGTGTGTCACCGGTGTTGGTGAGTTCGTGGGTGCACGGCGTTCGGAACGGTGTGCCCTGCCTTCGTTGTGGTTCGCCAGCTGGGACTGTGGGATGAACGTATCGTGTGTTACCGTTTCCGTGTCCTTATCACCACCGTGTAGAAGCTCGCTCGTTTACACGACCATCGTGTTTCTGTTGAGCAAGGTGTGCTTCATGGCTGTAAGAAGATTATCCTTCGGTGATTTCGTGTAGCTTTTGCCTACCTCTTGTGGGTAGGGGCGTAACCGTTGTGGCAGGAGCCGTGGTGGTGCCATATCGGCACTCGTAGGGATGTGGCGTAGAGACTTGCCGTCAAACGAAGATCCCGCAATCCTCGTTGTAGCGTTCATGTCGCACACAATTCCCTTGTAATGTCACTGTGTGGCCATCATGCTTGGATGGCGTGTACCAGGCCCCGTGGCACCATTAGAGTCGGTGCTGAGTAGTAACTTGTCTGACGCTTTTTATCGCTCTTTGTCGCACTAAAGATTCCCGCAATCCAGTGGTGGCGAATGAATATGGAAAGAAGATGTAGTCGCACTCTTTTTTCCGGAAATATGATTCATTTCCTTCGCCCAAGCTCGCGTCATAACGTGGGAGGGTGTCGCATGGTAAAACCGACTGCCTCGGTAAATACCTCTGGAAATTTTAGTCCTGTTCGTTAGTGGACGTTTTCCTTGTCGCGTGAAGTCTCCTCCATGTAGTACTACGTTCGTGTGGGACCCTCGTTAAAGGTACACCACAGGACATTCGCT